TCGACCACCCCGACCACCCCGACACAACCAGCGCGCTGCGACTACCCTTGCCAAGCAGATACGGAATGAGGGAACCAACTCAGACGCAGCCCCTGACGACTAGCTCCTCGGCGAGCGCCCCTTTCGCAGGGCCGCAACATTCAGCCGTTCCTCCAGGCCCCCGGGGGCGGAAAAGTGAAGTTAATGAAAATGTTTCCCGCTGCGGCGGTTCGTTATTTCCGAAATATCGTTAATGTAACCGGGCGCTGAATCAGATTAGACTGAAAGCAGCCGGAGCCTCCCTCTTTCCGTTTCGAGTGAAAAACACCTTTCGCTACAGAACCAAAGCATCTTTGTGCTTTTTGGCTTTTCCTTGCCGAAGACCCTCCCCCTCGAATTCCCAGTTATCATTACTTTCTAATGAGCCACCCTACCGAAGGCACATTACCACCCCCCGACTTGTGGAGTAAAACAAGGAACATTCAGCCAATATAAGACACGAAAGCAACTGACCTCGCGAACGCTTCCATATTCGGCATATTCGGGTTGACTTTGAGGCTTTGCTCGGCCCTGGCCTGAGCCTGAAGGTGATGAGGTAAACTGGCCGGGGAAAGGATGGCCGTGTGTCCAGCGCCAGGATGACCACCCAGCTGCATGAACTGCATGTGGCTCAGGTGCGTGGGTGGATGGTTGTAGCCGTTGGCCAGGAGTGGCGACTTCTCCATTCGCGGCACGTCTGAAACAACAAAGCAAGACGAGTCCTTAGGGTTGCGCTTGGTACACACACTGTATGAGTCTTAGATATCTATAGTATATTACAAGCCGAAAGGACATGTCGTTGGACCATGGAGAAAATATCGGAACGCAACCGGAGGGTAGGACAAGAGACGTGTAGCTTCCAGGGTAGCGAGGATAAAGAGCGCTTTTGTAGACTTGATGGATCGTCGGCCGCTTAACCAAATATCAATCACATCGCCGCGCAGCCACAGTCTGCATATAATCTCCACCATTTTCCTTCTGTTTGTACAAAGACTTACCAACTTCGCCATTCATTCGCGTATGCATATTATTATAGTATACACTGCCTACGTCCTTCCTCCCGATATTCCGTCGACTTTCTCGACTTTCGCCAAGCGCTCCGAATTTTTCAAAATTTAAGTCCAGCCGAATTCTTTATTTTTCACTAAATTCCACTAAACTCCCGAGAATCCGGTTTATACCGCAAGGACCAACCACTGTTCGCATCAGAGAAAATTGACTGAGCTTGCGAACATACCCCTGCACCCATGGCGATAATGTATGCTCGGTCACGTTTTCTGATTGATGCGACAGGCCTTCGGCGGGTCGCGGAACCACCCTTGGTCCAACTGATGGTGTTCCGTCAGCGCAAGATGCGATACCGCCTTGTTGTCATTTGTTATGGGTTCCTGCACAACGTCGCTACCGTCGCCACGTCGCTGAAAAATCCTACGGGGCCGTGATGCTTTGACTTTTCGCCTTCGCCCCTTAAAACCTGCATTCTTCGTTCGAAAAAGTTTCTTCTAAGAGAAGGCGAAGGTCAGAGGTTAGACGCTCTGTTTGCCCAATTCAATTAATATCGAACTCATTAGGCGATAACGAAGGACGTCGATCGGATCGATATTGGTGGGCGGATCGAATCGGCGTGGCTGGACGGTTGCGTTATACTTGAAGATGGTGCGGCACGATAGGACTAGCGCCACATCATGCCCTTAATTAGTGACCTCTTCGTTGCGACCTCGCACTCGATTCCTCGAATCTACATGGCCAGAGAGGAGAGATGACTTTTCGAAAGAATCGATTCTCCAAACGATATATTGTAGGATGATCCAGGCTCGGTGAGGGATTCGACCTATCGAAATCGGCCAACTCGTCTTCGATCGTAGAAAATCGACGGCGTTTCTCTCTCGATAGCAAATTGGCAGGTTCGCTTTAAATAAGAATCCTCGCGCAGCACGTACGAGAGAAAGATTTCGTACGGGCCAAGAAAACGCGCGTGTTCACGCGATGCCGCACACTTTCTTTTTTCTTTCTTTCTTTGCTTCCAGCTTCGTACCGAGCTCTCTCCGTGACCACCCGCTTCTCTTTCGGGACTGGTGCCTCTTTATTCTTACTGTTTTTCTATTTTCTGCCTTTTTCTTCGCCACCCCCACTCCCCACTCCCCCCCCCC